AATATCAACTTAACCCATTAATATTATCCTAAAGAAATATAAGTTATAGGTAAAAAACCATGTGATACTATGTGCATCCATATAGAAAAGAAAGAGGTGGATTCTCTCTCTCTCTCAAATTGATATCCACTATAACCAAAGGGTAAAGGGGTGGATGTGGGATTTTCAGGGATCATGGGGCAACAAAACTGGAAATGGGTCATGTCCAAGTGCTGGTCTATATTAATGGATGTACTTGGGATAGGTAAGAGTTTTGGTCTGCCCTTGACAGAAGATGATTGTGTGTGCATGTGCACCACACAGTTCCAAGGCATGCATTTTGTATGCCAGCTACCATATCAAGATGAGTAGATGGCCAGGAGTTAAGTGGAAGAGCTGATATAGTGGAAATTGTTCTAAATAGTATCTCTATCTCGCTGCCAATAAAAGCACCGTCTGTCCTATTCAATGATATATATATTTCTTTTTTTAATAGCCTCCTGTGAACACCGATGTGTTTATTGGCTGGTCAGTGAAAGGTTTGGTTTTGTTGTATGTGGTCTGATCAAAAAACCTTGATAGTACCGCTATATGAAAAGCAAACAACAAAACCTATCGCTTTGTCATTAAATCTTACTGGGATTTGATTCTTGAAAGGGAAAATATGCAAGCAGTGAGACCTGGGGAATATAGTGGTTGTTGGACCAAGGGATCTATGTCATTGACCAAAACTGCTGCACAAACCATAATCACCGAACCTATCATGTGGTGAGCGAGAACATTATATAACTCAGTGTGTATGTGTGACAATTCAGTCTGTGTCAAGTGGCTTCGTTTTTCATATTATAGCTCAATTACGATAACAACATTCCTGATACTTTTTGATCAGTTCTCACTCTCACTGTCATAGATCCTCATCTGGCACTAATATGGTGATGGGGGATACAACCAGCACCAGGCTAACATCCATGTATTCTGCACGATGATTCGTTTATATCTTATATTCCCTGAATAACCTTCCATTATGGGATCACTGAATAAATATTAGGGTTATTTCACTTACATCATTAAATCATCAGCAGATAATATAAAAAGAAAAGAAAGTAAGCAAAGTCCAACTCAATTATGGTCTAATTGAACTGGGCTTCCCTGAGTTCTTGGAATAACATTCAGCTGACCGGTGACCATAAATGAACGAAACGACATGGTGAACAATATAATATTTAATTAACAATCCACATGTATATTACCTAAATTTAATAAAGACATTATATCATGTGAGCTACAACATATATTTAGTTGGAATATGACAAATATTGACGAATGCAAGGTTTCACACATATACAGGGGTATAGTCTCAATTGTCTGGTATTACAAATATGGAAAGGTGTGGGCATGAACATAATATTATTGGGTTTTTTGGACTCATCATAGTAATATATATTTCTAGGATATATACTTATGAGATATGCATTTATCGACCAAAGGCGATAATAGTCTCTTTTCTTGTATTCTTGATTCAGCGGCTGGAGCTTTAGGTTCTCAACTGGGATCACATTCTCTGCCTTATATTTATATTCAGGATTTCTTAAGGCGATGATCTCTGAGGGGTTCAGGCCAATTGCGTCTGGACTATCTTCACATTCTTAGCATTTGAGTGGTTGATCTGCTTCTCTGCCTCTGGGAATGTGTTGTCTCAGTGTTTTCCTAGGACATAGATATATGCAAATATATATTTTTGGTGTCTCCGATAAATTGAAGGCTTTTTCTCTTCATATGAACCAACCACACTTTTCTTCACGTGTTGTCTCCTTTTAAACCTAATTTTATCGACTGCTGATTGGCTGCTTTTGACCAATCGATTGTCAGTTTTTTTTTGTGCTATCTTACTCTCCTGAATCTATTTTTTAGACTTAAACCTTATGTGTTTTATATGCATATCTGCTTTTTGGTTCTGTGGGCTTGCATTCTCATCACTATATATATAAAAAAATTCATGATATAGAATTATTATAGACAAATTCCTTTGATCTGTTCATGTATGATAACTAATTTTTTTCCTGTCTTTCTGACTGGAATGAATACTGAAGTTTCCACTATTTATCATTTTTCTCTTTTCAGGTCTCGTGGTCTTGGTCAGCTATTAAGGGCCAAGAAAATCCATACAATTGGTGACTTAGCTTCCCTGTCAGAATATGACATCCACAATTTACCTGTAAGATCTCCTAAAGTATCCAATGTAAAAGCTGTTTTGACCAACTTCAAACAGCAACAAGATGCCAAAAAAAAAATTTTATCGCTTCAATCAGTTTTGTCATGGCAAATTGTTTCTGCCCATATATTTCTGCAAATAAATTTCCTGTGAACTAAACTTTTTTTTTTTAAAAAAAAAAAGTAAAATAAATGCATAATTGCTGTCATTGAAACCCCCAAAACTAAACCTCCAGAGAATATGGGAACCTCACCTACAGGTAATCTTTTTATCTTATATATGAAACCTGATATTTATTGGTTGTGAAATCTGGTTTCACTATTTACAAGGGAAATATTTTGTCATAGTAAACAGAAATATTGGTTCTGCTTGAAGTAAATATGCCTTGTATTATAACGATGAATTATCTCCCTACTAAAGTAATTAAAACAGGTTACTAATGAATTGCTTACTGTTTCTATATATATATATATATATATATATAATATCCGTTTATGTATATATAATCTCTGTTCTGCGTAATTTTAACACCTCCAGGGAAAAAAAAAAAAAAAAAGTACCTGTGTATAGTGAAACTGGTGACTGTTCCTTTCCTTTGCATAAAAAAAAAAAAAACACATACTTGAGTATATATGGGAGCTTTCTTTTGATTTTTTTTTTTGATTTTTTGATTTTTTATTATTAGAATATAGCTACTACATGTACTACATGCCTTTTAATGTTTTCAATCTGGACAATTCTGAATTTTCTTTTCTTAATTGAGAAATATGTTTAACGTGGAAATTTCAGGATGAGTTTGCAGCCATAATTTTGCATGCATGCACAGAAAGCTGTTATTCTGCATGTTTACCAAACCAAAAAAAAAAAGTCATTGTTATCACTTAACAGAAAGTTATAGTCAAAGAGGACCAATCTGATTTGCTTGGCATTAAATTAGGTACCTCCATCAGATCACTAAGAAAAGAGCATAGCATGATGAAAAAGATGCCAAACTTGATGAAAACAATTTTATCGCCTAAATGCTTATGTTAATATTAAGAAGAAAGATCAAGGTTTAATTTAATTATTTTTAAAAAATTTTTCCTTTTTAGAACATTCTAAATTTTGATAATAAAAAAATAAATAAAAAAAACTTGTTTCTCTTTGTATCACTGGAACTAGTAAAATAGCATATAAAATTTTTAGCTTTTTTTTCTTTTGTATGACACACATTAATTTGGAAAATCTTGCAAAAATAAAAATAATTGTCAGATGTTAATGAAACTTTCAGAAACTATTCATTGATCAAAATTATTATAAATGTTTTTTATCTATTTATTTATTTATATAAATATATATATATATATATATATATATAAAAAAAAAAAAGAACAATAAGATATATAATCCGGTGTTCTTATAGATATTTTTATTTTTACAAAATAGTGCTCAATGTAAATTTACAGAGCATTAATAACATTATTCTATATGCAAAAAAAATCAGTACTTATACATAAAGGTGAGCAATGGATTAAGAATTCTTATGACCACTTTGACATCACAATGGGATCACTAGATTCAGCTGAGTCTTCTGATCTCATTGGTCTTTTTTATTTTATACAACCTTACAGTGCACCCTGATATTAATATAACTGACATTGGTTTGTACAGAGATGATGGACTTATGGTTATTAGAAACTCAACTAACTTCAAAATAGATAAAATTAGAAAGGTATTATATAAAAATTTAAAAGCATGAACTTAAAAAAATTACGGTTAGCACTAAATTAAAAAAAGTTAACTTCCTAGATATAACATTAGATTTAAATAAAAATACATACACACCTTATTAAAAACCCAAAACCAATCCTTTTATATATACACTCTAAATCAAATCACCCCATCTATAATTAAACATATACCGTTATCTATCCAAAAAGAATTAGTACAAATTCAGCAAATGACAAGATTTTCAATGAACATATCAATTTCTATAATAAAGCTCTAAAAGAGAATGGCTACAAAAAACCCAAAACTAACTTATATAAAAAAAAATGAAAATGGAAACCATAGAAAAAAACAGATGTAGAAAAAATAATTTGGTATACACCCCCATACAACCAAATGGTAAAAAACAAATTAGGACAAAAATTCCTCGCATTAATAGTCAAGCATTTTCCTAGTGGAAGTAAACTAAGTACTATTTTCAATAAAAACACACTAAAATTGAGTTACAGCTGTACGGAAAACTTAGAAAAAATTAAGAAACATAATGCTAATATCTTAAATAAACACTTATACCAAAACCAAAAAAATTAGACAATGGAAAAATAAAAACTGATGAAAATAAACAGAAATTATGTAACTGTAGAAACCCTCAAAATTGCCCTCTACAAAATAAATGTCGCACTGAATCATTAGTATACCAATGCAATATCTCGTCAATTGAAAATCCTGAAAACATAAAAATATATATAGGTTGCACTAGCCACGAGTTCAAAAAAAGATTCAACCAACATCAAAGTTCATTTAGGCTAAATATAAAAATCAAAATCAAACATTTCTCTCTAAGTACTTCTGGCATCTAAAAGAATCAAATAAAACACCTACAGTAAAATGGAAATTAATAAGAAAAGCTAGAATATGTAGGTCATTAAATGACCCATGTCCTTTGTGAATACATGAGAAACTATATATTTAAGTTTATAAAAAACAAAAATTTACTGAATCAGAGAAATGAAATAGCTATTTTATGCCGTCATTGTCAAAAATTTTTTAAAATAAATTTAAAAAAAACCTAATTTTTTGATATAAAAAATTTTTTTTTACTGTAAATAATTTCTATTAAATTTACAAAAAAAATATAGTATTAAAATAACAGTTGTAAAAAAACGAATTTTAAAGTTGTATTTTTAAAATTTTAGTTAAAACGAATTCTAACCAAAACACCTCTCTCAAAGTACTACTACACTTAAAAAAAATCCAATAAAACACCTACAAAAAATGAAATTATGATACAAAACTATAAGATGTAGGCCATTAAATGTCCCATGTCCTTTGTACAGACATGTGAAACTATATATTACTAAGTATAAAAAAAAAAAAATATATAAAGTTTACTAAATCAGAGAAATGAATTAGCTATTTTTACCGTAATTGTCATAAATTTTACTTAAATTGTCATAAATTTTACTTAAATTATATTTAAATATAAAAATTTTAACAATCGTAATATACATACTTATACTTGATATGTAAAAATAATTATACTTACTGTAAGTAATTCTAATACATTTACTTCTTTTAAAAAAGAAATATAGTCTATTAAAACTAACAGTGAAAATATTTTAAAGTTGTATTTAAAATTGTAGTTAAATAAAAAGAAATTCTAACCTAAACATCTTTTAAAATTGTAATTAAATAAAACGTATTCTAACCTATAGATTTCCCTCTAAGTACTACAAGCACTTAAAGGAATCCAATAAAACACCTACAGTAAAATGAATTTAATATGAAAAGCTAGATGTAAGCCATTGAATGACCCTTGTCCTTTGTACTTACATGAGAAACAAGATATTACTAGGTTTATATAAAAAATAAAAGTTTACTAAATTAGTGAAATCAATTAGCTATTTTGGGCATTATTGTCATAAATAATACTTGAATAATATTTAAATATAAATAAATAAAAAAAATTGTTACCTAATAATATACATACTTATAGTTGATGTGAAAATAACTGTAAGGGATTCTAATACATTTACTTGTTCTTAAAAGAAATATAGTATATTAAAAATTAAAAGTGAAAATATTTTTCAAATCGTAGTTACATAAAACCTAGACCCCCCCCCCAATCTTTAAATATACAAATAGAAAAAATGCCGTAAGAATTTTTGCCGTTAACAATAAAAAATTTTTTTTTAAATCTAGATGACATGCATTTAACGGATGTCCGATTTCATTGAAGAATATATCCCTACCCCCTACCAAAACGTAACTAATAACTGATACATCCAGATAGAGACATAATGAACATGCAAACACCCTCGTCTGGTTGAAATGATTTCTCTGTATCCTTGGAAACGTGAATTATGATTTTTGCTGTCTTTAAAACCCAGTAATTTTAAAAGTTACTCCAAAATTAAAAAGGATGAAATGGAACTAATGTCTTTAATTTAATTACAAAATTAAATTCGGACCTTCCATCTTTTGAAACATAGTTAGAACTGTGTAAGAGAAAAAAAAATTTTTAAAAAAATTTTTATATATATATATATATATATATATATATATATATAATCCCCCAAAAAAAAAAATAATTTTATGAAAACACTACATAATTTGATCACATCAGGTTTAGTGATTACAATAGTTAAAAAGCACAAAGCTTTGAGGAATGCAAATCTTCTTTTTTTTTTTTTTTTTTTTTTTAATTGGACCCCACTACCTGAAAATCAACTCTGAATTGTAACATACAAAACTCAAAACAAATATATTATTTAATTTCAATTGCTTTTAGTTGTTTTTATGAATGTGGACAATATTTTCTGAAAGCAAAAAAATTTTTCAATAAAAAATGAATTTTTAAAACGATTATTTCTTTAATTATAAAATATTTTTACATTTAAGTGTTAAAATATTATAAAATTAGTTAAAAGCCGCATTGGGTTTCCTAAGTTATGAGATAGATCTTCTTTTCTTTTTTCTTTTTTTAATGCGTTGTAAATTGTATCGTTTTGTCTAATCCGAATATCCGCAGTAATTAAGAAATGTAATTTTGTGTTTATAATAGGGCTGTGATTATAAAGTATGGAAGACCAACCAGAATACAATTAAGTTGCGTTATTTGAGTTAAGCATTGTTCTCCACTGGTAAGGCCTTTACTTTTGCAAAACACGTGTGGAGAAGTTAATTTGATTTTTCAATTTCAACTGAGAAGGGTACCTACAAGTATCAGTATCATCTTATGAAATTTATATGATCTTATTTTTATATTAATCACAGTTGACATTTTCCCATAAATAAAATATCAAAATTAATAATAAAATGAATGGAAATACAAATAACACAGTAAAATGTAATAAATGTACATAAAATTATAGTATTTTATGTACACTTCTGATAAAATTTCATAAGAAAGGTACCTATAAATTAATTAGATAACTTATGAAATTTAATGTCACTCTTAAGTCTTATTTAAATTTCTTTATAATATGTTTTCCATAAAGCATCGTAAAGGTGAAAGCTAAGTACGAAAAAAAAAAAAATTAGCACTGAAAGTTTTCCTTAAAAATAACAAGGTAAATAATTTGTTCACTTAAATCTAAATTTCACTTTTCTCCTTCCGTAGTACAAATTATCCTCACGTAATCCATCAATATGTCATTCATCACCTGTCAAGTGAGGCGAAAGTTTATGACCTGCTTTGTTTTATTTTCAAATTGCATGTTTTTGGCGCAAATGCTAAGTTAAGCTTGGTTCAAAATATTTTAAATAAACATAATTTCTGATTTTCTTAAAATAAGTTTTGAAAAAAATAATTGATATTTAAAAGAATTTCGAAGTGAGATTTTCAGGTTTTTTTATAGAATGGAAAAAGATGGTTGCCATCTGTCAATTTTGCTGACTCAAAAAAAAAAACAAGATTTTTAACAAATTTCAGATGTGCTCAGAACCACTAAAAAAAAAAAAAAAAAAAATACCCCCAAGATATTTTTATCTTTTCTATTAATAACTAGCAATAGAGCCCGGCATTGCCTGGGGATGTAACAGTAAGAGATAGATCAAGTATCGACCATCACAAAGACTGAAAAATAAAATTGACAAAGATTGTTTAAGGTTGACCGACACACGTCTTAGGTTTTTTTTTTTTACGAATTGGTCAAACAAAAACATTGTTTTCAATCGTTATGAGTCTACTGATTGAATAGAATTTTATTATAAACAATTCAGCGATGCTTCTTAATCGTGTTTTAAAATTGATTTCGTGCAAAAATTGTTTTTCAATTTTTTTAGCTTTTCAGAACCAAAAAAAAAAAAATTTTACGTCGTCCTGTGAAGTTTTGTTGAAATCAGTTGAAAAAATGTAGAAATCCGATCCAATATATAAACGCACGTTTTACACACACACACACACACACATGCACCTGGGTTTTATAATAAGTATGATGACATAAACATTTAGGCGATAAAATTTTGTTTTCGACAAGTTTGGCGTCTTTTTCATCATGCTATGTTTTTGTTTTTTTTTTTGTTTTTTTTTTGTTTTTTTTTTTTTTTTTTTTTTTTTTTTTTTTTTTTTTTTTAGTGACCTTGTGGAGGTACCTACATTAAATGGAACCTCATATTGTAAAATAAAAGATTTAAGTTACATAATAATCCACATATCAAATGCAATGCATTTCCTGAATTGGAAGAAGCAAAACTGCAGTTTTAATAACTCTAAAAACCAGCAGCAGATATTTTGTTTACATTTTCATCTGCTATGGGATTACAAAGATCACTAACTACGTCTGTCTAGTTTATAGTATTGTAGCTGACAAAAGAACAGTCTTATTCACCAGAAAGTTTTTTTTTTACATTTTTGACACCTATAATGAACTATGATATATATATATATATACTAAGCTTATTTTAGCATGAAACAAGAAATGTGGAATGCTCTGTGAAGATTTGCTCAAGGTAGAATAACAATCATTTGCTAGACAAGTTCACCATGCCCCTCTGTCTTATCCCAAGCAAGGAGCTCATAATCACCTAAATATACAAGTAAACTTTACTTCAATATTTAGAATAGATATTATTATATACTTTCATATAAAAGTAAATTTTACCTGCTCACTCATTTGGTAGTGTTTAGTATTTTACTAAATAAGTAAAATAAAATATTATGGTTTGAATGTTGGGTAGATAATGTCCTAATGTTGCTTACATATTGATATAAAGAAAAACTGAGACAGGATTTGCTAGTCTGTCTGGTTTTTAAGTACTGTTGGCTATTTCAGTAGTTATTTTCTTTATATCAGAACATTTGTTTTTACTTAAGCTATATTTAAGATGCCTTTGTTGGAATATTGGGTGAAAGGGCAGATAATTCAGGTTTCTTTTGATTGAGAAGATCCAACAACCAGTTTGTTTCTCCTTCAGCAGCAACAGATCGACCTGTAAGCGAGGAGAATCCAACAACAGCAGAGAAGGAATCTTTCTTACAGGAAAGTAAGTATTATCACTTAGTTGAAATTAGCATGTGATACAATTACAAAATAACATTTGTTGCACTTAACCTTTTAACTAATGCAGTAGGGTTTGTTGGATATTTTTTTTCTCCTCCTTCTCTCCTTCCCCCAGATTCATGAAAAAGAATCTTGAAAATCATTTGTATATTTCCAAATTAGAATACATATTTAGATTGGGCTAAGTCAAACAAAGAAAAAAGAAAACCTTAATGTATCATCCCAAAAACAAGTTAGAGAAACTTCAATTTACAAACTTACTTGGTCACGTATAGCCTAATATTAGTGTCTGTGATAGATAAATTTTGGGCTGTGAAAGCAGCTAGTAACTTTTTCCTCCTGAGTAGATTTATTTGAGGTTTAGTTTAAGAAATAGGTTGACAGTCCAGGAGTGAAGTTTCTCTTATAACAAAATAAAAATATTTTTTAGCAAAGAACTGCTCTAGGTACCATTTTTGTTGTCTTCCAGGAAACTGAAATGTTTCTTTTAAAGAAATTCTTGAAAGGAATGAAAAATGAGTGAAAAATTCCTAACCAAACAATTTTGGCTTCATCACCAAAGAAACATGAAATCTTGACTGAATATTACACTCTTTCTGTTAACTAATTTTGGATTCATGTTTTTCATTTGTTGCTTTCTTTCCAATTCCACAATTTACACAGCAAAACCTTTGGTTCATGACAGATTTTTGTACAATTTGTGAGGGTTCCTTTATCTTTACAACAATGATGAAACTAACACTGTGGGGGGAAAGAGTGCATTTGTTTCAAAACTCCAAATACAATCACTTGTAAGTTGTAAATCATTTACATCAGTGACCAAGAAGCTGATACAAATGATTTTCATTGCTTGTTTCTTTTTGTTTTCTTTTTTTATGTTGCATTGGTTTCAGGATATGTGCATAGTGATTATTAGCATGGAATGTAGAATCGGTCTGCAGAGTTCATATTCAAAAGTTTGTCGTGTTCATTTTTGCACAAATACACTTGGAAATATCAGAAATTCATCTCTTCACTCCATCTCTGGCTTAAATAAGGGTTCAGACTAAGCTTTCTGGTATTGGTTGACAACCAGTCTAGGAAAAGGAAAACTTTGCATTCAAAACTAGTTGTGCCTGGGGCTGGCAATTTCAGCCCCTGAAAACCTTACTACAGAAACCACAGCAGCAGCAACTAATGTGGTGAATCTGTGACCCTATTTATATTATCATAAGTGAGTTGACACTGAGGAGGATAATATTAATAATTTAAATGTAGTCTTTATTTGAGTGGTGGAAATTTTTACTAGTTTTCTGACTGCATTATTGCTCAATTTTAAAAGAAAAAAAAATTCCAGTATAGCCTTGTCAACTACTTTTATCTTGGATCGTTTACAATATACTTTTTCTTTTTTCTTTTTTTTCTTTGTACCTACTAATATTAAAGTTGTTACAATAGTCAAGTTGTCTTTTGATTTTAAAAATTAAATTATTCGTAATGTTATCTAAAAGCAAATGCAAGAATAACTTAATTAACCCAATAATTTCTTCATAAATAAATTTCTAAAATAGTTGAGTTATACAGTGTAACTGAATGATAATGTTTATTATTGCCCAGTTACTTAACTTTGTACAATTTGATGACTAGTATTTTACACAAGAAATTTTTATTCTGCTTAAAAAAAAACCCTCTTATTTGAAACAGCAATATTGCAAATATACTCAAAACAATAGATAATAAAACACAAAGTAGGCAAGTATTGATAATTGTTTACAAAAGGTATTTGTCAGCCATATTTGTTCTTTGGGAATCTGTGTAATTGAGTGTCTTTTGTCTCAAAGAAAGGAAATTCACCAAAATTAAGAAAATTAATGGAAATACACAAACAAGATCTATCATGTTTTGATAACATTAATGTTACAAGAAAGCAGCATTCCCCCAAAATAAGTTTTGAAACAGAAATTAAAAGAAAAACACAATGGCTAAACATTCTATTCTTTAATATAGCAAAAAAAAAATACTTTAGTAAAATATATGTACGATATTGAGAATTTAATGGATGATTGTACAATTAAAAAAAAAAATAAAAAATACATAGAAATGACTGTATGATGGGGTCATATATGCAAGGATGTAATTTATTCCCTTTTTTTTTTTAACTTTGGAAATATGGATTGTATTCTACACAAGGAAAAACAGTAATTTAAAACCCAAATTATTTACTTCAAAACCTGAATCTGGCTGTTGCCGACAGTTTTACAGATTTTGGTATGCATTCCACATTGTGTAGGAAGACAGTGAAGGCTTTCTTTCTCTCCCCCCCTCACTGTTATCCAAGTCATTATTTACATTATTCGGACTATTGTCCTCATCTTTGTCGCCATATTTATTACAACGTTTCGGCCGTTGTACGCTCTGGCCTTCTTCAGGTGGTTCGAATGTCAAACTGAACAATTTATTTCACTCACTGGAACAGTCTACCCCAGTGAGTGAAATAAAGGGTTCAGTTGACATTCGAACCACCTGAAGAAGGCCGGAGCGTACAACGGCCGAAACGTTGTAATAAATATGGCGACAAAGATGAGGACAATAGTCCGAATAATGTACATAATACCTCATCTCAGAAATATAGACAGACTTTGAAATAGTCAATTTAAAGCCTTTCTTTATTATTGCATTCTATCTAAGACATTCTATTTTACATAGAAAAAAAATTCTTCTGTCAATTCTTCAATGTCTACATCATTATTTAAGTTCCACATTTTGACAATTTTCCATAATTAAATTTTTAAGGACTAACTTTCTAAATTGTGCATGTTTTTTTATTTTTTAATTTCTAACTGTACCTTTTTCTTTTGAATATTAATGTACCTTCACATTTTTCTTAATCACAAATTCTAAGTTCCCAATGTTTTCCTTGTTTGACATTTTCATGAGGTGATATGTGAAAAAAAAAAAATTAAGATGAAAAAGTTAAACATTGTCAGTTTTTGTAATCATTTTTCCTTAAAGTTATCTATTCAACTACATATAACAACCTATATTCATTATCCTTGCCTAAATTTAGCCAATGGTGAGCAGGGAAAAGGAAGTGAATGCATGAAGTTGTATAGCTTTAATATGTAACAATGCTATATTACATGTCCTACATGTTACTTTTTTCTTTTCTTTTTTTAATTATAATATTGAAACAAATTCCACAATTTGAGTAAAAACTTAGTCTTTAATTTATCATTCAGTATGTGCAATAAAATTTGATTAATTAGGAGCTTGCTTCAGTCTTTCACGTTGTTCAAGTAGCCATCTTGTTTGGTTTGTCCACACAGGTTATGAATTTTTACACACAGCATGTACTAATTTTTTGATAAAAAATTAATACTTATTTGTTTTGATATTTATTTCATTTTATTTCTGTTACTGCTGTTAGATTATCATTCTACAATAGATAATTTCATAGTGCCAATCAGATAGAATAATTCCCTAATGAGAATTGCATTCTCGAACCCCCCCCAATATTATTTTCTATAACACTGATTAGGCTAAAAAGTAAAGTTTATATTAATGCCATATTTGGTAGTATTCAGTATTCTTACACACTTTTTTCTCTCTCTCACTTTCTTCCCTTAGTGCCTGAATTAGATACAACATCCTCATCCCTTAAATCGGATACTGATGAATCTACTTTGTCTGCATTGGAACCTGAAGAGTCTGCCATTCCAAAAAATGTATCCAATAATCCACACATTTCTGATGTGGCACAAAGTACAAACCTAGTGTCTGCTGAAATTTGTGATAATCTAAGTACAGCAGATCTTGCTCCACCTACCCCTGTTTTTGAAACTCCAGAAGCATCCAGTACGCCAGTGAAAACAGAAACAAAAGAATCTGAAAGTAACTTAACAGAAAAAGATGAAGCATCAGATTTGGCTGTTGAAAATTCTAATTCTGGTGATCTGCCATGTTCTATCAAACCGATTTGCTTGGAAAAGAAATTTTCTGCTATACACTGTAATGCAAAAGATGAAACGGAGGAACCAAAAGATCTAATTGAGGATGAGGACAAAGGTAAGTAATACATTTTAGGTTTTTTTTTGGTTTTTTTTTTTTTCCTTTCTCTTTCTCTCCATTTTGAATATTTAAATTGATTCTTGATGGGTCAAATTTATTAGGTGTATGAAGAAACTTCAGTAGTTTTATTTAAAAAAAAAAAAAAATAATAATTTTGTTTTATAACTTCTTGACAAAGCTGTTGCACTTATTTTTAATGTTTTGTGGTACATTTCTGTAATTACAAAGGTCAGATATTGGGTGGGAAATATAGTTGATTGGTTTTGATATTTGCTTCCTGTTGCTCTGTAAACATGTGCCAAAATCATATCTTTTAATTGTATCCTGTAAAATATGAGGAGACAGTTGAATCTTTTGTTTTTAATTTTAAGTTGTTTTCATTGGCTGTTTTCTTGCTAAAAAGAAAAAAAATGGTCTTATTCAAATGTAACTCAAACTATTGAGTTGAGCATAATTTAGGTTAAGCGTTTTTGTAGACCTGAAGTTTTGTATTTTATTAACTAAATTGTCCTTGCATGGATAACCTGTGAATTCCTATTGGGTTGGAAAATTGCTTGAATTTTCCTTGTTGTCACAGTAAGCATGTTGCTGCTTTTTCTTTTTTCTTTGTATGGAAATATTGGACATATAAATGAAATGGAATTTATGAAGATTCTATTTAATTTTACTATTGAAGAATTAACTGCTTTTTATAGCATTTTCATTTTAAGACCATTATTGTTGTAAGGTTTAATTTTGAAAACAAAAAAATTGTCTATAAATGTTTTTTTTTTTTTTCTTTTTTCTTTGGCTATTTTTCTAAATATTAACGGAGGAAACAAGTTGGATTTTGTCTTTATATGTTATATCTACTCCACTTTCTTACATAATTTTTATCTTATATGATTTCATCTTATGATTTCCCTAACATGTAAATGTGTATGTATATATATATATATATATATATATATATATATATATATATATATATATACACTTGTGGGGGTAGTAATTAGTGATGGAACGATACCAATATTTCTACTGATTTCATTACTGTTTTAGGTTCCCGATTCCAATACAATGATTAAGATTCATTTATTAATAAAACATTTGGTAGAAAAATGAATACAAAAGCTTATAAAATAAAGTTAGATATCCTTTTTATTTAAAAATAAATTGAGTAAGAGTTTAAACAAAGAAAACAATTTACATAAATCACTTGTGTACTGCACTACAGTTGACATAATACTTTGGTTATCATCTTAACCTTAAAACTTCCAAACTCCACTTTTCTGCTTGGCATAGGATACACTTGCCATAATTGGGATCTGAAATTTTAAACATCAGTTAAAATTTAAATTTTTCACTGTTAGATAAAAAGTTTCTAGTTTTTTAATGTGTATAAGTTGTAAAAATTCAAATAATTGTTTGCTATTAATTGTAAAATTAAAAAGGGTTTATTTTTTGTTCACTTTGTGTGTTTTAACAAGCAAAGGTGCCCTCTGCATATTATGCAATCTCCTTAAAAAAATTTTTTCTTTTTTCTGTGATTGGAGCAAATTTAGAGGTAACAGTTCAATTTCAGCATGTGCTTAAAAAATAAGACACCTTTTTTATATATATATATATATATATATATAATATATATATAAAAACAACAATAATACTCTAAGCAGAAAGGCATCATCTTCTTACAACTAAAAAAATTTAATTTCTGAAAATAATCAGTTTTTTTTTTTTTTTTTTTTTTTTTTTTTTAAACGTAAAAGTTAAACAACAGTAAAAACATATCCGTTGATATTTTTTTTTAAGAGATATAGGCAATTTTAGCAAACATTACAATAAATTGAAAAAAAAAAATATCAAGTTGAAAGCTAAATAACACCAATCTCCATCTTGATCATTTTATAATGTTCAACTGTTACAAAGTATTAAAATAAGTTTAAAAATGATTAAAATCTTTGTAAGTATTGACAAATGTGTATTTTTTGCATGGGGTCTCTTTTTCTTTTCTTTTTTTCTTTCTTCCTCTCTCTCTTCTAGTTATTTATTAGATAAAATTTTACTAGTTTTATATTTAAAAAAATAAAATAAAAAAAATATTAAAACAAAGCCTGTTAAGTGTTTTGTTTGTTTTTTTTTGTTTTTTTTTGTTTTTTTTTTTGTTTTTTTTTTAACTATAGCTTAATCACCCCGGATAAAAATGTTTTTAACTTTTTTTTTTTTTTTATTATTATTATAATAATAATAATACACTTCTACTTTGTAAAACTTGCATCTCGTTTGGCTCTGAGGAGGAATAAGTAAGAAAAAAAAGTTCAAAATATTTTAAATGCCATAATAATTTAACACAGGAAAACTCAATTATGCCAAAGAAAAATATTAGTAAAATAAAATTAAATGCAATTTTTGATGGAAATTAAATTCAAATTTTAGGTTTTTTAATACAAACTTTTGTGTGAAATTTTTTTTTTTTTTTTTTTTTTTTTTTTCTTAGGTAGTTTTTTTATTTATTTTTTAAGTAAATAGATGAAAGTCCGTTTTTTTTTTTTTTTTTTTTTTTTTTTTTACATTTTGCTTATAATTAATAAAGTGCCTTATTTTTATTTTCTTCCTTATCCCAGGTGACTATTGTACAGTTGAAGATGACGTAAAATCAATTCTTGAAAATTCCGGTGCTCTATTGGAAGAAGTTGAAAAGTTTTCTCAGTCTGTTCAAGAATTGGAACGCAGCCCACGCTCTCCAAAATTCATGCGTAAGGAGTACAAAGATCCTGACTCTCCCGAGTTACAAAGCACACAAGGTTTTGATGTCAATCACTTGCTATCAAATATGGCTGTTGAAAGCAATACCAAAAATGTCATAAGTTCTGTAAATTCTGCAGTGCAGAAAAATCTGGAACTTTTACCTACATTAAAGGATTTGTCTACAAAGTTCACAGAAAATGAAATTAGAGAACTTGCTGGGGAGGAAATCCAAGAGGCTCATGAATGCCTCCAACAATTGTTCACCTCAGTTATGAAAGCCGTCATTCCCAATGCAAAAAGAAAATAGTAAAAGAAGAAAAAAAAAAAAAAATGAACATTATTTCAATAAAAATTTTTCATGGAATCAAAGTAGTATTTAAAATCTGAAATCCCTGTTTCTGATATCTTTATTTTTACAAACCTCTTGAAATAAAATTCAATCAATGTGTGTGCAATCTGCAGGAATGACTTTTGACCAGTTGTTAATATCCTTTTCAGATTGTATGGTAGTTGTGAGAGAGAGGAGAAAGTGTAAACGTCATTGAATGTATATAGACTAGTTATTTCTCTTGGAGATGAAACATTTGTAGACGCTCTCGGATATTGCTTTCGATCCTCTCCTGTTACTTGTAAATGACATGAAGGCTAGCCTGAATGACAGTGAAGATGTCAACATGAGGCTGTACAACCAATTTTGACATGTACTCGAGTTAAAAGCAAGCCAAAAAGCAAGCTTTAAAATTTTCATTACTGTCTTCAGCTTCTAGGCAGATGACTTTGTGAGAGAGTTCCTGTAAAAATATTTACATTTTTGTATTTTTTTTTTTTTTTTTTTTTCTAACAAAAGTTTTCTTTTTTTATTTTTCTTACACAAGGGATACTGAAAAGTTTTCAGTCCAACCAAAAAGAGCCTTGAGACCTGTTTTTCTGCTTATTTACTTGAAGTTCAACACCTTTGATGTGTTTCTAAAGTTTCTTTCACCCTTCCAAGAACAATACTGCTACCATCACTTCCAACCATTTGTATATAATTTAAAAAAAACAACAAAAAAAAAACTTTTTCAAACTCTTTTTATGGTTTGGCAAAAGGAAAAAGATGGAGCAAGATCTGGTGGGGAGCTTTGGTAGTCTATGCACTCAAACTCCTAATTCTTTAAAACATATTCCCTGGCAGAACTCCTCCACCTTCAATTTCAATACTTCCTACATTTGGCAAAACAAATCCAAAGTATTCTGTATTCACTGTTTCTTTTCTGAAGGTTGCCTATCATCAGCCCACTCCAATCATGTCAGTGAATTCTTGTACCGATTTGATGAGTCTTGAATTTATTCAGCTATGGAAATCTTGAGTAGGAACTGTTCTGGCAAATTTGGCCTAGAGGTGTTGATTGTCACTGGTTGGCATTCAAACATATTGGGGCCCATAAATCATGCATACCCCAATGCTCATAAATTATAAACCCAGCTTGTCCCCTGGATATCCCTTCTGTTTCAATAATATTTTGGGCTAAAGATTGATTGATTGGCTAAAATAGGATATGAACATGATGATTAATTTCAAGAGTTGATACTGTTGAAGTCATCTCACACTAAGCTGTATCTTGGGCTTCAAAATCTCCACACACCGTCTCTTCACAGTTTATTAGTATGATGAGCACTTGTCACTTAATATTTGAATCATTCTTGGAGTTTTCTTCTCCAGGAACTTTATGATGGCCTGGAGTTCCAAACTTAAAACTCAATACTGCTTCAATCAGAATGATCTGAAGCATAACCAAATTGGTGCTTTATAGTAAAAACAAACATTATATATCAGAGTAAGGGTGGGTTATTTTGAATGATAAAATTGGGTAGACCCTGTGATCTATACATTATAAGTAAAAACATTTAGTTTGAAAAAAATCCTTTTGAAGGTTGAAACATATTATAGAGGATTTTGTCATTCATTTAAATGTGCTATATTTCATCATGATTTCAAAATTTGCCAAATTTTGAAATTTAAATCCACGTGAATTTAGTTTTCTCTAAATTTCCTATGCTAACATAGCAGGAGTTATGTTTTTAAGCATTTTGTCTTTGTCATGATTCTGAAGCAGTTCCAAACCAGCATCTCAAGTTTGCATTTGTAAATTTTTAACAAAATATTTAAAAAAAAAAAAAAAAAAAAATTAGAACACTATGTATATTGAAGTTATTGATAAATTCTTAATTTTTTTTTCATCTTACTAAAAAGTCTACACATCCCTTTTCATGCTCCTACGATGAGTTCCCCCATGACATTTGATACGTCCCTCTTAATAGCCTTTCAATATTTATAGCTTTTGATTGCAATGCTTATTGTAAAATTCAAATTGCAACAATCTTCTCAACATTAGAATTACATTGTCAGAATTTGAAACTTGCCACTGCAGAAAGAATCTGTTGTGTGGATCCATGGGAATTAAAACACATTAGATGCAATGTCATTTCTGACTGATTGATTTGAAGTGATTGCATTTAAATCAGTCAGCATAAGATAACAGAACTGTTAATCTTGATAAAGTGTCCTTATCTTCATATTCCACCTTTTTTCTTCTTCCCCCCCCCAACTACTACTATTATAGTGATGTAGTAATAATCTTTTTTTTTTTTTTTTTCAAATAGATACTTCTTTTACATTCTGTAGAACCAGGTTCAAACTTAGGGTCCTGATACTTTAGAGAGTGGGGGAGATCTTGAGCAAAACTTTCCATTCATGTTGGCTGCTTTGAGTGGTGGTGGTGAGGGGTAGCAGCATATGTATTAATGATGCATGGGATATGGTTGGTACATTTGCCCACTCCTTGTTTTTTATGATTCCTCTGGTATTATTTCAGTCTTCATGCTCCACAATGATGATGGTATCTTTTTAATTTAAGAAAGATTTCAATCTGTTTCTTTTGTATCACTTTAAAATCTATTACATAGTAATTTTGACATTTGCTCCTTGAGAAAATAACATGTAGCCAATGTCAGATGGTTTCTATTATGTAGTCAATGTAGAATAATGAAGGCCATTTCTAAATATTTTTTCGCCTTTACTGTGATTAAAAAGAAAAAAATGCTATTTTACTCGATTCAAAAATAAGTTTTATCACAACAGATCACCATTAATTTTCTTTCTCCATATTGTGACAATATTTTATTTTCAATTCTCAATATTTTATTTTTGTTGCTGCCACGAGTAACAATTTAATCACAGTTAACTGGGATTTTTGAAATTAAGTTTTAATGTAGACTTTGACATCTGTGATTGTTGAAAATGTTTTTATATTTGACTTTTTTTATGCTATGAAGATTTGAAACCCTCTTCATTTGTTGTAGCAGTCATTATGTATTTCAACTGATAGCTTATTACTATGGCTAATACTTCTATCTCTTCTTCCTCCTGGTCTCAACTTGCAAATAGAACCAACCTGTACATTTTAGTTAATAAATATTTCAATATTAATGTCTCCTTTTTCTTCTCTACCCACTGTTGCTTGATTATTATACATGCAGTTTTTGATATTACTTGTCAGAAAAAATGGTCCCAACTAGAATATTCTCCTGTGGACATGCTCCATGGCAAGCAATATCTTGTTCTTTTTCAGTACTGCTCAGTTATTTGGTGGTATAGTAACAGTTCAATCCCTGGTTCAAGTAGTAAAATCTCAGATTTGGTGAAAACAGGATTAACTAACTGCACAGTGCTAAAAACAAAAATCCCTAGACAATCTACCTCTTGTAGGTTAAATAAAGGGTTCAGTTCAAAATTCCTTGACTGTTACCTGGATTGACAGGCATCTGAAGGTCAGCAAGCACAACAACCAAAATGTTATCATACTAAAAAAGTGAGGACTTTAGCCTGAATGTCAATCCTGGTAATTCCTCATTCCAGAAATTTGGACTTTTTTTTTTTTTTTTTTTTTTTTTAAATACTTCCATTTAGTTCAATTTTTAATTTGATTTTGACTCATTAATGAAAACACTTAGGAACCATGTGCTTCCTTTGTTTCTCTTTTTGTTTTTTTTAAACAGTTTATTTTCACTCGTCTTTGACACTATGAACATTGAATTGTAATATCAGTGCACTCCACTTGTGACCATTCTTTCAGACAAGTACCTTATTTCAGAAAACTTCCTTCAATGCAATGTTATTAGGGAAAATGTTTTGTTGGTTTTGAGAGCAAATATTGATGTGTAAATATACAAGATCCTTATCTAGCTTTCAACTGACCAACCAGTGAATATCCCACATTGAGAAATAATAAAACAAGAAAAATATCCCTTGACCAGTAAACAAATGTTTGAGATCAAGATAAGATATTTTTGTCTTCTATGTGGGTGTCTCACCCAGTGTCATAGGTGTAGAAAATGCCCTTTCTTGGAATGAAAACTAATTATTTCATCTAAAGTGACAATGATAAAGCAAAAATTGTGCTGTAAAAGAAATTTATTAGACAAACTAATTGGCTTGTGAATTGTTGCATTTTGGTTTCATCTTTTATCACTCATGTAATGAAACTGATGTTTGAAAAACAAGAGACATCCTACTTATTTTTGCAGAAACTTCAACAGATACCAGAAGCATATTAATATTTCCATTGCAGAGAGACTAAGCTACAAAATCTCTATTGGTTATGCATTTTTTTTTTTTTTTTTTTTTTTTTTTTGCCAGGAAAGAACACTATTTTGTGGGTTGACAAGCAGAGATGCTTTGAATATGGTTTATCACACAGCATTTTTCAATGCTTTACCCACTGCTCACATAGTGTTTTGTTTCCAAAAATAAGCAAGCATTGATTAACTTTCAATAGGTGAAAATGTTTTCTACTTGGAAGAATTCCTTAGTACACATTTTTATGGCAGATGCCATTTTGCCCAATTGTTATTTGTGACAAGATGGGCTGGAGAATAACCTCTGTTGTCCTGGCTACAAATATAAAACTGGACATATTACTTTTGAAGCAAACATTTACTTCACTATTTACAAGTGGACAACTTATTTCATGTGTGGAAACTTTTTTTGTAACTTAGAGTAACACAGGTAAATAATTCTGGCACAATTGTGTGATCCTGATGCACTGCAAATATGCATTTGAGATCTACAGATTTGGTTGGAACATTCAACATTGAGTGTTTTTTTTTTTTTTTTTTTTTTTCTTCTTCTTCAAGTCACTTATATGAAACTAGATTATTCATGCTGTCAAAAATGACGTGTTTTATACCTTTTGGTATTATGCTTTCGCTTGTGAGTTTTTAATTTTCTTTATTTTGTAATCTGTTCTTTGACACTTGGTCTTTTCACTTTCCAGAGCTAAACATCTTGAGGCATGTGTCAGAATAGACAGAGCTGATTAATGTTATTGGGTGTTTTTTTTTTTTTTTTTTTTTTAAATGGTGCATTTATGAATAGTACTAAAAAATTTTTTTCTTCATGGTTTCATATGAAATGGAATATTTAATTTTGAGAGGAAAATTAGTCAAATTATGAATAAATTAAACTATATTAAATATATTGTATAATTTACATGAATGTAAAGTAATACTGTTAAATCATTTGTGCTTGCTTATTGTGCAATATTTTTCCTTCATGACCAACACTTTGCCTTTTGTAGTACTTGTTTCAAAATTCATTGGCTTAAACTTGTCAAAGTTACATGCTTTTTACTTGTTTTGATGTGCTTTGCAAATGTTAAATTCTCTAAGCTTTCCTTCTTCATATGCTAATAGTTTCTTCTCTTGCACTTCTTGCTTGTGGAACTATCTTCCAGGTTTCTACTCTTCTTTTCAATTACAATTTTCAAGCATTTAAATACAATATCAATCCTCATCTTCTGTCTCTTTGAATTCTTTATTATTATTATTATTATTGCTGCTGTCCTTTGTGTTTCTTTTACTCTCAGTAACTCCTTGCATCCTTGTGGTTTTTATTGACTTGCTTGGAGTGAAATAATTTTAAAAAAAAATTTTTTCTGATTAATTCCTTAGTCATTCCCATTCTCTTTGAAAGTTCATTATTTGTTGTAATCTTTGCTCATTTTCAACGCTATATTAAACTAATCTCATTTGAAAAGATCGTTTTTTATTATAACATGTTGGAGAGGGATGGAATTTATAACCATTGGGTTTGCCAAATTTTGGTTTTGTCAAATAGTAAATGATTTTCGAATATCAAATGTGAATTACCTCCCTTCGATCATGTCTCCCAACTGATTGTTTTGAACATTTGTGTGGCCGTTATAGAAAATGAAGATATTTCTTATTTTTATCTTACTATGTCTATATTTGTAACTGATTTTCACAATCATACTGGAATAATAT